TCGTTACCCAATAAATTAAGTTAGATTTTGAACACTGCTCAAATTTTCTCCCAGTGAAAATTATACGTACAGTTTTAATTTTTAAACCTAATGAACATAGCATAGCATCTGTGCGTAGTGCAGTCGTATGAATCATCCTTCAAGTTCAACCTACATCTAACACAAAGAAGAAAGACGTTCTAGAATACACAAGATCCCACAGCCATCAAACACACACTGTCCAACATGACCAACACACGACAGAAAATGTGCAATAAACTTATGTACAACAGTCTTGATAGCCGCAGAGAGAGACAGAGGAGATTGACATTTTAACGACACGAATGCAAAGGGAAGAGACGAAAGTCCACAAGAGAGAGACGGGCAGAGGTTCATTTCAGGAAACCGATAGCGAAGTGTTATGTACAAAAGCCACGAGGAAGGTAGTGACTGTAGATTAGGTGAAAACTGATGGGTATGAATAACCCTTAGGAATGTCAGTCGGTATGAATTATGTTACTGATTGATATCAAATTCGACCAATTAGTAATTAACGAATCTACTTAAATATGAAATAAAATTGAAATATTTATGTTTGAAATTTCTTCAATCTAACAAAGTTGTTTTACTATCTTTTAAGATTTCGACATCTTCGAACTGAAACATTTTGAAGGGAAAAGCCGTTATATTTTTTATTTTTTATTAATGTTTTATTTGTTTATCTTTCTTATATGAATTTTACAGATATAATAATTGTGAATGATAGAATATATTGGCAATTGATTGAATCTTGAACCACTTTGATACAGATGGTTTTTCGGTTTAACATACGGTTTTTCTTTGCTTACAATTCCTCTAATACCTATAAATAAGTCAAATAAGGTCATAAAATTTCAAAATTACAATATTTCATAATAGTTCTGCTTATTTACTTATCTGCTGGTTGGCGCCCAATTCTACTAGCCAATGAGCTGCAATTCAGAGGATTTTTCAAATTTATTAATTCGCGTTTACGAGGAGAAGAAGCCATAAGCGTTAAAAGCTCTCTATCGCTTACATATCAAAGCAAGGAATTAAGGTGGTAATGTTGAGATAAAAATTAACATCTTGTATTTAATTGATGATATACTTTCAAATAAATAATTTTCCGAACAACTAAAATTAACTCAATGAATTTTCTCTACAAAACTGGCTTCACTATAACATTTAAATCCACAACTAACTCAAATTACGTTTAAATTCTACGAGACGCCTGTTTAATACGTTGCATTACGTTTCAATTCAAGCCACAGGTAAATGACCCAAGTAAATCCCACTCGCTTTTTATTTTTAAGAAGTACGCGGAACAAAGTGAAATATTTCCAATCTGTATGTACTTTTTCACAGATATATAAGCATTGAGCAAAAAACTATTTTTTAAAGTCATTAATATGCTTCAATACCTAGGATTTTAAATGTTTCTTAAGAACCAAATATTTTATATTCAAATTGATTCAAAAGTTAGCTTGAAAATAAAACTAAATATGGTGATGGATCATAGTTTTGATTCTTGAAACTTCAGGTAAACAGAAAAATTCACGGACAAACGCAAAACAGTTTTGAATTTTTGAAACTTCAGGTAAATAGGAAAATCCATTGACAAACGCGAAACAGTAATAACTGTAGACGAGCTACCGTACCGCTCAAATGACAAAGTGGACGTGATGCACTTGTTTCTGCCCGTCATTTCGCTATACCGAGTGGCACTCCCGAGGGTCGAATGCAGGAGCACCTGGAGAGTGGAGCGGGGGCGAGAGGCGGAGAGCGGGCAGGCGAGGCAGCGGGGGCTGGGGCGGGGGTGGGGCCTGAGGGAGGACCGGGTGTTCTACCTCTTGATTTTGCGCAGGCGCGTGTAGAGGGCCATGACGGCGCGTACATTGCGCCATTTCTGTTCGCCAACGCTGGTCGACCTAGCCTGGCGACCGAGCTGAGGCGCTCTGCAAACACACAACACACTGAGAGAGGGGACGGGATCGCACAGCGGACTGTCGCCGGAGAGGGGGGCAGCGGGCACACGAGGAGGAGACGGGAGGTCGAGAGGCGCTCGAGGGAAAGGCGAGGATGGAAGAAAGGAGACGGGTGCGGCAGCGGGGAAAGAGGAGAAAAGTTGGAAACGAGAAGGATGAGGAGGGAAGTCGCAGAGACCGGGTGGACGCGGAGGCAAGGATGCGGTAGATGCACATTGGAACATCAGCGGAGAGGACGCGAATATGGGGTAAAACGGCTAGAGAGAACGAGGGGGAAATATGAGCGGGCGGGAAGGGAAGGAACGGCGAAGAGCTAAAAAGGCTAGTCGTGAAATGAAAGGGCTGGCGGGAGGATAGAAGGCAAAAGGATATTGAGGGAGCGGGTGGAAGGGGCGGGAAAAGAGCTGTGGGCGTGAGATGGGGGCGGGGCGGGGGTGCGGAGCGGGGCGAGGCAGGCAACCACCCGGTGGCGCCTCTCCTTTGCTCGCGACAAAGGGATCTGTTTGCTTAACCAAGCGAGACTCCCATCTCTCGAGGTGAATTAGCTACACGAGGGCCAGCGCTACACTGACGCGTCCAGCTCCCGTCCCTTCCTCTCCCCCTGCCCTTCTACCGCCCTCCATCCCCCTCCCACTCGTGGCTCCCATGAGCGGCTGTTTCGCCTGCAGCCCTGTTTGCGCCTCTGCTTAGACTATTTACGGCGGCCGGGCGAGGAGCTGCAGCCCGCCTGCGTTGGGCGCGTGTGAAGGTGAGCAATGAATGAGGACGCCTGCGTAATCCCGTTCGCCGACTCGCACAATGCCTCGCGAGCCGCTCGGCGCACGCGGTTGCTGTTTCCCCACCGAGCGACGCGTGTCTGGCGAACGCATCGTTTGTGGCGTCTCGCAGGGATCGAGTGCACGCCCAACGCCCCACTCGTGTTGGAGCTTGCTACTGACTATTGGGAGACGAGAGCTTATTCGTGGGTATTCATGGTGTGAACTGCATTTGCTTAATCGCGATTATATGACCCTCATCTCGTGAAATGCATGCCTCTTGAGTATGTCGGCACTTTAGAGAATTACGTGAGACTTAATGACGCATAAATGTTTATTTCGTTTTCGTACGTTACATCGTTGTAAAATCAGTATTCAATTTGATGCACTGATACAAAATGTCTAATGACCTGAATATTTAATAGTTAATTGAGCATAGGTTTATGTTATACGAGGTTCTCTAAAGCCAGTAACTGAATCACAAAACTCGAGCAATTTCAGATTCATACTTGGATACAAAACTCAAAACACATGCATAATCGAGCTTTCTTGCATATTAAAACAATTGTTACTATGTATCTTCCGCAGATTTACGTAAGATTAAAGAAAGGACATTAACACTATAAGGCACAATACGTGTCCTTTTGAAATGACCCCAATAGGTACACTACCACTCTTAATTATATACTATATAGAAATATTTACCGAGACTAAAATAATATTTTTCTCGTAGAAAGTCCCCAAAATGAGTTAAAAACAATATATTTGTAAACTCTTTATCTTTTAGTTAAGCGTACCCATATACAGGAAATGCAAACTAACTACTGAGATACGGTAATTTACATGTCCCACCGGGAGAAAACCTGGCGCGCCAACGTCGGAATAACAATTGGCGAGAGACACATTTCTCGCGAGAGCCGAAATTTTCCACGAACAAGAGCAACCTGCCTACTTGATTCCCGGTAGTGTAGCGTATGCACGCGCTCCACAACCATTAGTTTGATTATCGTAGAATTAAACTTTGTTTGCGAAATACACTGGCTGCCTAATTACTTGGAATGAATGTAAAACGACGAAGGGTTTTTAAGGGTTATTTGCAAGACTTTAAAGGTCGGTGAGGGAGAAGATTGCAGGGTCAATCTTTGGTCTTATAAAGAACAGGGGGTGTAAAAGAATGAAAAAATGTACAAAATGTTAGCTATTGAAATGAGACGCAACTACTACTCCTACAACAATTTCCAAGAACTCTGTTCAACCTCTTAATATTTTACAATTTTGAATACAATTTGAACAATTAATATAAATTATTAATGAATACATATTATTTTTTACATTTTTAATTGAGATACGTAAAGCTGCAACTACTTTCATTTTTCAAGAAATTACTTTAAAATAAAATTAACTCTTAATAATAATATGAAGGTATACTATCATAAACACGAACTAACATAAAATATTGAACTTGTGACATTTAATTTTTATGGGTCTACCGTTTCTATGATATACAGGTAGAGAACTCATATTAACAAGACGCAAATTAAAAATATGGCCAAGAATAGAAAATCGGGCCAAGAAAACGAATTAAGAAAGTGGCCAAAAATATGCAGTAGTTAATCGGATCTAGTCTCACTGGTAGAGAATAGGACAGGAGAATTCTCCTGACACTTATGACTCAGGAAAATACTACATATTGTCACCTGAAACACGTTAAGATTCGTAAATTAGCGGAACTTTATGACAAGGAACTGTGGATACTTGTTGCTTTGGATTGAAGTGAGAAGAAATCGGGTCTGATGTAGGATCTTGGACTCTGAGGTCTCCGAGCTAAATCTCGAGTCCTGATACTGTATGTAGAAATTATTGATTCAATTTTAGGCTCGGAAATAGTGCTCGTGACTACGGCTAGAATGTTGACTATCGACTCCTAACTTTGGGTTCACAACTCGGGGATCGAGAACCTCAGGTCACTTAGATCAGGGTTCAGAGGGGTGGAGTCTATTGATCACTAAGATGTAGTCTGGAGTGAGGACCATGAGGTCGGGTTTCTGGGATGAAGACCGTTAGGTCGGGACTAAGGGGCTACGACTGTGAAGTCGGGACGTTGGGGTGATGGCCATGAGATCGGGAAGCTGGGGTGTCGACTGTGAGGGTACTATGTGTCAGCGGCCATTAGGTCGGGACTATGGGGCGACAAACGTTAGGTCGGGACTATGAGGTACCACCGTTTGGTCGGGACAGCGCGACGACCGTTAGGTCGGAACTATGGGCCGACGACCGTGAGGTCCTGACTATGGGGTGACGACCGTGAGGTCGGGTCTATGGGTCGACGACCTTTAGGCCGGGACTTTGGGGTGATGAACATGATGTCGGGACGCTGAGGTGTCGACCGTGAGGTCGGGGCAATGGGGGCGACGACCGACAGGTCGGGACTATGGGGCGTCGACCGTTAGGCCGAGACTCTCAGGTCCGGGGCATGGTGATTGCAGTGCGGCGACGCGGGGGGCGGGGCGCGGAGGCTCACCTCTGGCCGGGGCTCTTGTCGGAGGAGGCGACGCTGTCGCGCTTGCTGCTGTCGCCGGCCTCCTCGTCCTCCTCCTCGTCGGCGTCGTCGTCGTCGCGCGACGTGGCCAGGCTGAGCGCGGCGCTGGCGGCGGCCGACGACTCGCTGTCCGCGGCGGCGGCCGCTGAGGCTGCGGCGGCGGCGGCGCCCGCGCCAGCGCCAGCGCCCGCGGGGCCGCCCACGGCGCCCGCGGGGCCCGCGCCCGTGCTGTCCACCATGGGGGCGGCGGCGGGGCCGGCGCGCGGGGCCGCCTCCACCTCCTCCACCTGCGCACACGCCACACAGCTCGTCACCCTCCACCAAGCCAACGACTCCGCTAGTGGCCGCTTCAAGTGAAACGTTTAGAAAATGGGAATTGGAGGCTCCGCATTTGTTTCAAACTTGTAGAACGTGGATTGATTGATTTAATTTCCAGGTGCGTCAACTGGTGAGGTCGTTAGTTCCATAACTGCAGTGTACGGTTTTATCGCGGGAGGCGGCAGTGATCTTTTCCCACTTGATGACGAGATCCAGCGGGATTTTTCCCAACCAGGCATCTCCCTCCTGCACCGCCCCAACTGGGGCTAGCTCTAAGTTCGCAACTGGCCTCCCGGCATGTGTGGTTGTGTAGAATATATAAGTGAACATGGGTGTAAGTAAGGGGTGAGGATAGGACAAGTAAGGGGTAGGAGATATCGCGCGTGGTCCGTGCCCAATTGTTAGAGTACTGCTCCGATAGTCGTCTGGCGTTGATCCAAGAAACCTTGGAAAACTACCGAGGAGCAACCGGCCGCTAGAATACTCCTCCAGACTGCGCATGCATGCAGAATATGGATGTTATGCCTTCCGGCGATGATAAGTTATTACGTTTCCCATGTTTTGTGTTTGAAGAATAATTTTAAGTGTTTTAGCATTGCAGTATTTTATCACAAAGAGGCATGTTGTTATTGGTGGTTTATATCAGTCACGTTTGGGAAGAGTATATGTCATGATAATAATAATATAAATAATAATATAAATAATAATATAAATAATAATATAAATAATAATATAAATAATAATAACAACAACAATTGATTACATTATACGCAATTTTTCAATATTAAAGACCTTTTTATTAGCACCAGTAACCACCATTAACGCCATTATCAATTAACAATAGGTGCACCTGGAAACTCGAAGAACATTGTTATGTTCTTATGTAACGTAAAAAGCGTTTCATTAAAGTGTCAAGACGTTCTTGTTTGGTCTTGCTGTAAACGAAATGAAACAGTAACAGTATCTGGATCTGTGATTACTGCGACGAATAATTTGCAATTATTGTGTGTCCACTACTGAAAATAAACGAGGTTTGGAAGTACATTAATAAAATAGAAAAAATAAATATTTGGAAATTTTGGGTAACAGATCTTTTCACAAAGAAGTATGATAATCACCAATTTAGCTTCACATAAAGAATTTAGTATTGAAACCCAAGAAATTTGAAAAAAAATCATGATAATATTTTTACCGGCGGTCACTGATGCATTTATCCTTCTCTTCATTGAGCATTCAGGTACTTCGAATCCGAACAAAACAGGAACCGCTCATAAACGATGACTGTTGTAAAACAGAAATAATACTTCCTCCCATAATACGTTTGGAAAAACAATGTTTTCTCTTTGAAAGTTTTTTTCACAAGATGAACAGCTTTCAATTCACTTTCCAATCCACTAGGCATCACTTATTATTGTTTCGTAGTATCTCTCATCATATTTAGCACATTTTTAAAATCTCAAGTTTTATAAGAAAGCTTCCATGAAACTTCGGGCCACGTCTTTAAGAGTTCGTTGCACTTGTATTGCTTTCGTGGGCTGTAAAATATTTGATTTGAAAGTGTAATAGTAGTGCAAATGGTTCTTTTTGCATTATACTATAGAACTAAATTTAGTTAATGCAATTAGGTGTAATCTCTTCATTTTCGCTTGCGATATACCTGTAGTATTGGGTCTCAACGAAAAGGACGGAATGTTACTGATAGGAATCAAACTTTTTTCTGGTGTATTCTTATTGAAAGAGTAACATTGATGATCTGCTTATGCAATATCTTCGAACGAAATGTCGTTTTAACTCATTTATTTCCCAGAAATAGAATCATTATATTGGGCCCGCTGGGGCAGTGCAAGTGGGGTATTGAGTATATTGGGGTATTGAGTACTCTTTAAAATCTTACCGATCGCAGGTTTTCTTTTTATTCTTCACGGGATGAACTGGTCCTGAACGTCGGTACTCGTGGATTAATACTGAGTGGGATGTCCAATAAGCAACAATTTGTTTTGTTTCAGAAGTACGAAATCATTTAGACAAGGTATCAATTTGATGGTTGAAAATATTTTACTTTTGGTTTATAATAAAATGTGATTAACCTAATATTAAAATACGAATTTAAAACAAAAAAATACATAATAAATTTAGACTTAAGTATATTAAAAATAAATTAATTTCTTCGATTGTGGAACTATTTTTTGAAATATGATTTCATGAAACACATTTTAATTAACTTGCGATAAACGGAAGTCGCTAGTTTAACAGAAATATTTTTAAAATATAATATTTATTTCACGTTTTGAAACAAAAATGAAGGGAACATTGGTTTAGATGCAATAATGAATATGAGAATTCGAGTGGTGTGTAAGTGAGGTGTGTTGGATGGTGCTGAGAGCGGGTTATGACCGGCGATAAAATAGTATATTGTCTATTTAAGCGCTTGAAGAAATTTTAATACTTCGGCCGTCTGTTTGTCTCACATGTCAATCGTTTCAACTTGATCTCGACCAGGACCGTCTCGTAGTTTTACGCCGTGCAATTATATTTTTGACGATCCTTTTCTACTGCTAGCAGAAGTTCAATAAACGTGGTAAAACATTACGTGAAGGTATATTGCGAGAGCCAGGCATTCGACGATTTCGTTTTATTTCGTGAAGAGTTATATTGTTTACTTTTGCGTCATCAGTTCTATTTTCTTTTGAGATTTGAATTGTCAACATTGTTCACTTTCGTCAATAACATATTGCATTTTGCCTCATTTGTAGGGTTTAATATCTCTCCTATCCCATCACGCAAATTTGTTATGGGTATTTAATATGGTACCTACTTCTTTTCAAAGTATTACTAACGTTAACAAATACATTACTCTTAAATAATAACAAATACAACATGGTTAATAAATTATTTAAACATCAATTCAATTAATTACATCGTAGATGGCAAACATGTCAAATGCTAATGCACTATCAAGTTCTTATGAACGATAAGCAAACTAAATTCTCCTAGTGTCAACTGTATATTGTACGTTTTCGAGAGTAATTTTCTACGGCAAGTTTTGTGAATAGGTACACCATGCGGTAATCACTGTGAACTTTTCGAAATGGCATCTGGTTTAGTAAGTAACAATTGGTTCGGACCAGAATTTCGAAATGTCCCGCGCTTATGTATTCTGTGTGTGCGTAAGCTATCTGCGCGCATGCTACCTGCGCGCATCATGTAGTACATACAAGAAGGGATTATTCAAGAAGGGACATTAGTATCAATCCACCAACGACCAATCGTTGCCCCAGCGAGCTCAACAGCGGCGCTACGGACGACACTACAAGGCGGTCCTGGTCGAGATCAAGTTGAAACGATTGACATGTGAGACAACCGACGGCTGAAGGTGGTATTAAAATTTCTTCAAGCACTTAAATAGACAATATATTTTGTTATATCCGGTCACAACCCGCTCTCAGCACCATCCAACACACCTCACTTACACACCACTCGAATGCTCATGTTCTTTATTGCATTTAAACCAATGTTCTCTTCATTTTTGTTTCAGAAACGTGAAATAAATACTATATTTTAAAAAAATCTTTCTGTTAAACTAGCGACTTCCGGTGATCGCAAGTTAAATAAAAAGTGTTTCATGAAGTTCAGTTCAGAAAACAATCACACTCACAAGGGGAAGCGCCTCCGATTATTGCAAACGGGGATATTTACTAAAATATTGGGATATGAAATCATATTTTTGTCATTAATGTGCAACTGTTTGTGTTACGATTATGCACGCGGTATGTTATACAGAAAATTGTAAGTTGGTCGATAAAATAAACATGCCTTTTAAAAGTGTTCGGCTCTAGAAAAAGGTTGAGAATTCCTTTTATAAGGGCATAGCACACTGATCCTGTAGCTACAAATACCAGTTGTTAATAGCATTTGTATTTTGAATGCAGCCCGCAAAACTCTTCTGTGTTTACTGTAGCTGATTGCATCGTCCCCTGGATTTGTACGATGAGAACGATATGTTGTTTTTTTCGTGAACCACGCAAAACGTGTATCTATGCAATACAAAATGCGAATGACATTTGATTTATCAAAACACATACATGAAAGAAACTATGGAAAAATGTCGAATTTGTATTTTATTACTTTAAAATATTATTTTCCTATTTCCCGTTAAATCGAACAACTATTTTGGAGTCGTGACGGAAATAGCATTTAAATGAAGTGGGTGTTAGATAATAAACGCTTTCCCGTAGGACGCAGATTTACGAACTTTAGTCACTTTGGGTGTCACCGGGGGAGGGGGGGCAGTGTGTGATCTACGAGCGTCGACACCAAGTTAAGGGGGTTTAAATTTCATCCGACGTCAACACGTCACAAACTCTTGGTTATGTTGTGTGTCGCACTGTGGGTGACGAGAAGCCACTTCACCATGAGAAGATATTCCTTGTATTCAATGCACATTGGACAAGGAAATACCTGCCAGATTTGTATTTATCTTTTACATTACGGATGATAATAATAATAATAATAATAATAATAATAACAAGAACAAGAATAATAATAATAATCATAATAATATTGATAATAATATTTATTAGTCATCAGGCGGAGGCCAAAACGCCAACTCTTCCATCTTACCTCTTCAATGAATATACATCGAGGTAGATTTAAATTTACAGGCAGGATAAGCTGTACATTTACGACAGGGGTGCAAAACAAGGAACCATTTCGGCATATGCCTTACGCGATTGAGTAAACCCAGAAAAAACTCAAACAAGATTGGGGGCAATCCTCATGGGCGCATATAGCTGAGCATTGCCGGTTCTTAGATGGGGAACATAGAACAAGAGACGCGGATAATGTGCCGAAGGGAAAGTAAATGAAGAAAATTAGTATGAAATCTCAAGATGAAAGAATAGGGGAAGAGACGTAGAGAGGGAAGGTGTTCTACACTTACGACAGAGGGCCTAAATGTACAACAATAGAAACCCTGACGGCACACACAGGTAACAAACGCATTACACATGGTGGAAAAGAGAGTAAAAGACATTTTAACCGAGAATTAAAAGGTAATGGAAAGCGAGCATGTGTCTACATAATTTAGATAAAATCAAAAGGGCAACACAGAAGATGAGGAGGTTTAAAAATGTTGCGAAATGTAGTAATCATATATATCACTTAGTGATTTATCGACGCCATTGTTTAAATGTTTAATAGCATAAGATAAGAAAAATTCTTAATAAGTGAACAACATTCTAGTTCACTTACTATATAAATTACTAAAAGACTTGTGAAAAGCATTTTTGAAGCGGGCAGAAGGTCGGTCGCTCTTTATCACGAATAAACACATTAAACTGAATTTAAGATTGAGGTCCGCTGCTCCAACACAGTTTTCAAACGGTGATTTTCTGACAACATGAGAACCATTAAAGTATAACATTGCCCAAGATATACGGCACTAACGGGGAAGTTTGATGTTGGATTCCTGTAGTTATCCAATAGTCATAAAGCGCGACAAAAGTGCTGTGTTAATAATTGCTTAATACATTTTAGGACAGGAGGAATAATACTAAATCATTAACTACGGATAGATATGACAACAATTTTTTTTATTGAATGAAAATAATTTACGACCCATCTAGGTTGATACATGATTACGTCTTTATTAAATATCAATGTTTACCAGAACTGAATGATGTGACCACAAAAGAGGATAATCATGTCAGGAACATTTGTTACCGGTCTGGAAAACAATTTAACTCTTCAAAAACGAGATAATTATTTTGTCACCTGAAATAACCTCTACCTCCACTCTTACTGCGATGGGTTTTGCTGAAGTTTTTTCAATTTTCGATCTTCAGTGATTACAGTAATGTACTAATACGTTCAATAAAAAATTAATTACGTTCACTATGCTAGCCGTAACAAATTAATTGAGAATTAAATTTGAAATGAGTAAATTTAGATTCAATTGTAATCAATTTCATTTTTAAATATCTGAACATTACATTGACCTGTCCATTCACGTTTTGGTTAATATTGCTTTCAATATTGTCATTGCACTACACAAAGATTCTGGCCAAATATCAACAGGAGTTATAAACAAATGCATTTGTATGATCGTAGAAAAATAATGGATTTTGCGATCCGTTACGAGCAACAATGACTTTCCCCCAAATAATAATGCGACAAGAACTTGAGTTTTGCTTTGTTAACCATAAGGAACAAAGATTAAAACCAATAATTTACAATGTAACAATTTTTATACGATTACATAAAAATATTTGTATTTCGTGAGCGATGGTTCCTTTAACCATTTCGACGTTTTCCTCAAACTATTGATCTCGTAAAAAATTATCAATGCCCATCACGTAAATAAAAGAAAATTCACGCACTCGATATAAAAATAAATATTTTTAAACGTGTTTAACCTGAACTTAATTTTCGCAAAAATAAATTAAACCATTTCACATATTTCGTGGACGAAACATGCAACACAAACAGCCAAAAAGAAGTGGCCTTCCCATTTTTACAGTGGGTGTTCCGCAACCTGACACATTTAGTGAATCACGCCACATGGACGCTTCCCCGCGGTTGCGGCGCGCGCATTCGTTGGTCGCGCGGACCAGCCCCCCCCTCCCCCCCCGGCCCTGTTTGCGCGGGACAGCCTCCGAGCGGAGCGCGCGCGACAGATCCGATTTGCCGCAGACCGCATTTGTCTCGGTCCTGCTCATTATGAAATGACGGTCATTAAAGTGTACTCTGTTTCAATACCGATATCGAGGTTTCGAAATATTTAGGTTCTTTACCATTTCACGGCGCATATCGAAATATTTACGCTCTTCGTCCAATCTGAATAGCTCATACTGATCCGAACAACATTAAAAAGCATTCGCGTTGAGTGTTAGAGTGAGAATATACTCAAATTGAAAAAGTAATGGCCGTGTTGGAAAAACACGAACTGATTGTCTAGGTAATCAATGACAATGATGCTGTTTGTATGTCACGATAAGGCATGTTAAATGATTGTAATATCATCTTTGAATAACCTAACAATATAATTTATACAAATACATTCGTGTGCACCGGAGAACATGATTTGCAGTTTTTATATATATATATATTTATCACTTGAAATTAATATTTTATTATTTAATTTTATAATTATTACTTTTTCAGTTACTTAAATCATTGTTATTATAAAAATATAGACTCATACTATCATTTAATAGTTATCATTCTTAATCAGTATTTTCTCTATCTAATTGCCCGTGTTCTACGAAAAAAATACTATTTTGTATAACTTATAATACATGATTGAGCAAAACCCCTGCCAGTTTCCTATTTATCCAAATCTTCTGGGTTGCAAATTAAACTCAGGTGTTATGAAACCGTATTGAAAACAAAAAGAATAGACCATTGCAAATTATGATATAAAACAGTCAACGACCATGCAACCTGCAACATACGTTACACTGCAACACACACAATATCATCGAACTTAACTCGAAAACAGTGTTTTCAAGGCCTTTAAGGCCTTTCAAAGCTTTAAAGGATTTCGAGTTCACAAGGACACAAGTGTTGTTTCTTACACCGCAATCTACAAAATGAGACTTTTGTGGTTTGTTCATTCCATTTGTGGACGGAACCTCCAATCCGTAGTTAGAAATGCTCAAAGTTAGATTTAATTATGAATGTCTTTCTCTTTTAAAACAATTATTTAAAA